CACACACACACACACACACACACACACACACACACACACACACACACACACGTCTACTTGCTTACCACACGCGCACGCTTACACATCGTTTCGAAATGAGCACATACACATAATAAAATAATATGCACAATGCAGCTTGCAAAATACATAAATGGATACATAGTCATTTACATAACATTGTACTTAACACGAATTTACTGACTTTAAAGTGATGTCGTTAAATGTGTCTTTAAAGATTTTTATAATTTAGACTCAGATGTTGTATGTCTCAGGGGTTGGAGAAGACAGTTCCAAACTGATGGAGCAATGTGGGCAAACGATTTTTCAGCTAATTTTTTACCCCTTTTTCTAGGAACTCTTAAAAGATACTGATCGCCTGATTTTAGGGATCTAGATGGAACATAAATCTGGATGAGATCACTAAGATATGAGGGAGCATATATATATATTAAGAAGCAAAGAACACGAACAAAAGATGGTGGTAAATAGTTACAGGTGTACTTAAAAATTAAGTTCAGCAAAGATAAGATAAGAATCTCCTCAATGAAAATTATATTAATAAAAAACAACAAGAAAGCAATAGCAATAAGCCCCAAGGAAGTGACGTTCATTATCATTCGAGAACGCCGATGAATCATATATTAAATTATATATTGCCTTTCATTGTGTCAAATCCTCTGCAACAATTTGTATGAATTTTTAAAAAGAAAGTTTTTAAAGATTAGAATGCCTTTCCCAAAGATGGATATCTTATAAATCTGCAACCTCAAGTGTAGTTTTGATAGTAGGCTTACCTCAACCAAAAATTACTATTTTTTAACTCTTTTTTTGTGATGTGCAAAGATGCATGACAGTATGCCCGACAAAGCATTAAATTAGTTTTTATAGTCATTTTGAAGACAATAATTTACTCGTATTTCCCTGCTTTATCTCGAAGAAGGAGATTGTGATGGAAACGTTGATTTCTGGGGATATTCTTCAATTTCTAATTGGCCACTATATGTGTATTTACATCATTAATAAGATAGTTCAGCATTAATTTGCCTTCACATATCTCCTTTACCTTTTTTTTCATGCTTTTTCTATTGTGTTGCAAGTGCCGTAAAACTCTTACTAAATCTAAAAACTAAACTAAACCATGCTTTTTCTACTCTTTCTATAAATTCATTGGAATTGCATGGCTTAAAAAGAGCCATAAATTATACGTTGTCTGTGTGTCATCAAGTAGAAATGGTAGCTGAGTGGGTACTTTTGTATTTCGACAGCAAGTGCTTGTGTATATTTTGTGAATAACGCTGGGCCTAAAACTCAACCTTGGGGAACACCAAACTTAAGAATACCCTTGTGTGACGTGATGTCTTTTACCACAACAGACTGGCTGCGTGTTTTTGAACCACCTAAGAGCAGAACCATTAATGTTAATTGTCTCTTGTTTTCTAAACTTTAAAGTAAAATTGCGTGACCAAAGGTGTCAGTAGCTGCTGACAAATCTAGTAGATTCAGAGTTACAACTTTGCCAGTGTCTGATTCTATGAAGATATCTTGTACAACTTTAAACAGAGCTGTTTCTGTGCTTTGATTGACCCTGTAAGCTGACTAACAGATAGATAGATTGATAGATAGATAGATAGATAGATAGATAGATAGATAGATAGATAGATAGATAGATAGATAGATAGATAGATAGGTAGAGTG